AGCAGCAGCAGCAGCAGCAACAGTTGCTGATGCTGTCGTCGTCGTCGCCGTCGTCGTTGTTGTCGGCGTTGCTGTTGCCAGGGACTATGGGTTCATACCTAGGTATGGCTTTCTTACTTTCCTACTCAGGGCATGCTTTTGGCTTACAGAAGGAATGTCTCCTCAAAGCCAGTATCGGAGTAGTTGAGTGAGGGCTCTGCATGAGGGGCAGCGAGGAGCAATCTCTGGTGAGGTACGATACCCCGAGAAATCACGACTTTCATATTCGGATCTCAGGAGGCCATAAGCAAAAATCATCGTAGGCTTGCATTTGAAACTGCAGCGACAAGTGCAGCAACAGTAACAGTTCGAGCACAAGGTTGCCAGCTATGACCATACTAATCTTTCTAATCTTAGGTATTCTCTCAAAAATTGCGTGCAGCTTGCTTTCAAGAACCGCTCGAAACGTTAATAATTATCTGACTATCGTTTTCCACAACGTTTCGACAAGACCCCTTGGTCTCCAACTACGTCAACACACCAACACGCAAGTACCAGCCCTTAGAGCAGCAGAGGCGGCAACAGCAGCAGCATACTAAAAACATGCACAGGTGGGTAATTCCTGTAGCTTCAGTGCAGCAGCAGGAGCGGAGCATTATTAGGATGCTGGGGAAGGATGAGGCTGGTACAGGGCTGGGGATCGAGGCAGAGTAGCAAAGCAGAAGCGACTACACGTGGAGTAGCACCAAGATACTCGATCGAGATCTCTCGCTACATAAACAAGCATATGTAAGTATATGAATATACTTATATAATATATATATGTATACATATTCATATGTTTGTACAGAACATTATCATAATATACATATGTGTATATATATATATGCGCTGCTCAACTGCATAACATAACATCACGACATGTCGGCGTACATGAGGCTCTGTTGTTCAACTGGATATCACAAGCAGGCGGGCCTCTGCAAGACATGGGAGACGATGAGACGGACGCCAGTAAGGTCAATGGTGTTCCTGCATTCAAGGCCAATGTGCTGGATGTTGCATCTTAAAGATTGTGCCGACACCTGTGCGAGAATTATCACCATCTGCCATTTTTACTGCATGATTACCCCAGTGGCAGCAACCAATCAGGGAAGCTCCGGCACCGTACCGTTGCCGTGAGCTTAACTTGTGCCGTTTTCTTGAAGCCCTTAGCCAGACAAACCGGAGCGCGTACACAGTACAGCCTGAACTCGAAACCCTCAACCTTCAAACGTCTGTGCATGTTGAAACACCTGCAATTCACACATGATCCCATTACAACACAAAAAGCCCTTGAAACCAGCACGTCCTCCGCGACTCGTTTTGCACGAAGTCGGGGTGCACCTGGCATCTCACTTCGATTGTGTCATAGGGGACTTGAATTGCCGCATTCTGTGAAAACAATGTCGGTCTTTAGTTTTGGGAATCGAAGATTCGGGACAAATGGCCGGACCGGAAGTGAAAAATGAGAGGCAGCATCGCGCGGCGGGATTTGAGTGCAGCCTCATTCCACCTTTCCAAAAGACGATGGCCACAAAAAAGTATAAGCTTTCTCTATTTTGGGGACCATAGACATATCCTCATTGAAAAACTACTGCTCAAGTGTCCCTCAGAGTTCAGACAGAGATTCCCCAAGGCCCAGAAGGGGGGTTCCATAAACCAGTCAATACAGGCCCCAATGCACTGTCAGCCTTATTCTCATGGCTCCAAAAAAGGCCCCAAATTTTTGGAAACCCCAAATGGCATCTTGAACCGTGAGAACTGCAGAAACCGCCCCGCAACGAGCGCCGTGCTTGAGGCTTTGTAATGGATAGTTTAGGGTTGAAGGTTTTTCAAGAGGAACCTCTTCCCATGCAGACATGATAAACACAAGCGAGACCAAGGGACTCGGAGATCCTTCACGGAGTACTGCAGGCCCCACGTCTGCGCCAAGGGAACAAAGTGGCAACTGTGATCCTAACGTTCTTTATAGCTCTTCTTCAGAATGATAGTACTGCTGATGCTGAAGATGAAAGAGAGCTGCATGTAGCAGTAGCATCAGAAGCAGTAATAGATCATAGGAAGCTGCTGTAGAGGTCTTAGAATAGGAGTAGGATATTGTTTCAGATCACTGCGCATTCTTACGGACTCCAACTTCAAAATACAAATGTTGCCAAAATCCGGGCCCCCGGTTTGGGAGCCCTTAACAGGGAGCATGGCAAACTGCGGCGAATACTGGGGCGCCCCATTGTTGGAAACCGTAAACCCTAAACCCGAAACCACAAACCTTATGATATATTGGTTTCCAATTTTATTTCCGTTATCCCCATTAGAACCCCAATATAAGCCCTATATAACCCCTATATAATCCCAGTTTCCATTTAATTGTCCATCTTCTTTTCCATTTGATTCTCCACTATTGGGGTAATATAACCTCGTTAGAACCCCAATATAAACCCTA